ATAGACAGATAGACAGATAGACAGATAGACAGATAGACAGATAGACAGATAGACAGATAGACAGATAGACAGATAGACAGACTGATAGATAGATAGATAGATAGATAGATAGATAGATAGCTAGATAGATGATAGCTAGATAGATAGATAGATAGATAGTTAGTTAGATAGTTAGATAGTTAGTTAGTTTTGTAAACTTTAAGTTAGTAAGTTAGGTAGTTAGATAGGTAGATAGATAGAAAGACAGAAACATAGATAGATAACTACAGACAGACAGATAGATAGACAGACGAACAGATGTATAAACATATTGTATGCCCAAGCGCCTCCCATATACTCACCCTTGTAAAGTTTCCACAATTCCGGAGACGTGCAGACGTACACTCCCGCAGCCCACACTCGAGCAGCCTTGACTGCTTGCCATATATGGTACTTTGACCCCAAAGATCTATGAGATTCAGGTTTTGGAAATGTTCGAATCATTTTGATTCGGATGATTCCTTCTCTCACCCGCCCTTCCCCCGATACCCATTCTACAGATCGCGACGCACACACAGTCATTGGACTGATCCTGCTACACAGGACAAACAGGGAGCAAAGCTCACAATACTCGGCTTATTGGCACAATCACTTTGACAACTGGTCTTATCCTAAATTGCGCCAGTCATATTCATCTGCTGCTATAGGAGATCAGACACAGCGTAATTCGCAGTGCTGAGCTTGTCATTCGCCCGCTAACGCAATGCTTCATTGCATGGTTTAGTTTAGTATTCAGCAAGCCATCAGCACATCAGCACAACTACTATACAGTCACGAAAGATGTACACACCGCGCGATCCCAATTCTCAAACTATCCTGTTGCCTATTGGACGGTTGCATGGACGCAGCACAACGCAAAATTCAAGTTGCTGAGCCTGAATTATACCAGGCTGGCATTGGGATCACTATCCCAGTAACCAATTGGAACAAGATTGCAAATGACCAACTGGGACTAGGCAGGTGACCATTCTAACTGCGATCGAGTCGTGTCGGAAGGTTTGTCTACATTGAGGATAGCTTTGGTACCTGTACTAAGGGTAGGATGAGGGGGGGATTGTGACCAAGGTTGCGAATGGAGTGAATCTTTGGGCAAATGTTGAGCTTGTGGGATTAAGCAATGCTATGACGATTGACATTGGCATGAATCGAGCTCATGTGAGGTTTGCCAGCAGTACTTTAGGGCTGAAAAAGTTCATTGAGGCCAATTTTGGGGGTTGCCCCTAAGCCCCTGCTGGGCTTGCTGTTGAAAGTAGAAACCAGTGTACTACTAAGGCGCATCGTAGTGTTTGAGCGGCTCAACAGAGGAGGACCTGTGTCTGACATTGCAAGCGGTTCGAACATAAGTCAAGTTGGGCTTGCTGTTTAGATTAGTTCCTCAGGTACATACGAGACGTATCAGCGCACGCCTTGGTTGACATGATGTAGTTCAGTCGAATCGCCAACTTACCTTGAAGGTTGGAAGCCTCTTTGTGGGCTTTCCTGCTGTCAGTCACGGTCAGGTGAGTCTGAAAAAAGTCATGTTATTCCTAGGTCTGTTGTAAGGGACACACCACTACTCTGGGAATAATCTTTGCGCTACAAGTACTGCTCATCTTGTGCATGTTTGAAATCGATTTTGCTTGGCAAAAATATTCCGCTTTGCTGTTTTGATGTGTGTGTGTGTGATTGGACTCAGCACTTGGCACTATTCGCCTGCGTAGATGTGTTGAAATGTGTATGATTCAGTGGGTTGTATGCAAAACTCAACACTATCATTTTCCCTTGGTCGATTGAAACGCGAATGCACGAGAGGGTTGTATGCAAGATTGAGCACTCTCATTCTGCGGTGACGGCTGCAACTATTCATGAATAAGAGGGTTCTGCACACGACTCAGCACTATGATCATGCCTTGATGGGTTGAAAATTTGCCCGAGTCAGGTCACATGGTATCAAAAAAACCTAATCGGCATTTCTAGCGGGGCTTAGCATGTGCATATGTATGTATGTATGTATGTATGTATGTATGTATGTATGTATGTATGTATGTATGTATGTATGTTTTTTTGTGTATGTATGTATGTATGTA